ATGGACACCATGATATCATGGATTGAAGACTAAAAACAGGCCACAGGTGCATTCAGCTGGGCTGTGTGGCTTCCTGGGGATGGGAGGAGCTCGGCAGGCTTTCCGGTTCTACCCGTGCTGGAGGTTTTTGACCACCACAGGTGCATTCAGCTGGGCCACGTGGCTCCCTGGGGAAGGGCCTGGGTGCTCTGGGGGCTCGGGGCTGTGGATTTGCACGTGTTGATGATTGATGACCTGTGGGTTCACACCCAGGTGAGGAATTACTGCTGAGGGACTTCCACGTGTATGTAAGAGGGGCTGAGACCAAATGGTCTGGAAGGGGGAACAGGAGGGCCTTTAACCGCTAGGCTGAAGTACGAGTTCACGTGTGACACCTGAGCTGGGGTAGTTAGCATCTTCCGTCACCAAGCACCACTCGCTGATACACACTGAAGTTAAGGCTGGGGCCTACTAGTGAGAGAACAGGGTACGGGTGATGTCAAGATGGGCCACGACAATCGCTAGCACGTGAGAGAATTGGTCTGCTAGCAGAATCTGTGGAGATGTGGGCTCACTGCTGTAGAACTGCAATCTCTGTTGACACACCCAATAGCTGTGGATGGGAACAGGCCTGGCTGGGGAGCTAAGGGGACACCCTAGCTGGGTTCCCTTGCTGTGGTTCCCACTGGTGAGGACGAGAGCTGGACTGGTGGCAGCAGGCTGGGCTGGACATGGCTACAGCCTCCAACAGCATGGGTGTGGACTGGATCCGGGAACCGGCAGACTGGGCTAAACTCCAGCACCCACTGGTACTACTGAGAGCCAGGGTGAGTACGGGATGAGCTGGGCTAGGTCGTGACTCCCTCTGAACCATGTGAAAGCTGTCTGGGTGCAGACCAGGTATTGCTGGGCTATAACACCCGGCGCAATAGTGTAGTGGTTAAAGTCCTCACCTTGAACGTGCCGGGATCCCATATGGGTGCCGGTTCTAATCCCAGCAGCCCCGCTTCCCATCCAGCTCCCTGCTCGTGGCCTGGGATAGCAGTGGAGGATGGCCCAAAGCTTTGGGACCCTGCATGTGCATGGGAGACCTGGAAGAAGCTCCAGGCTCCTGGCTTCAGACTGGTGCGGTACAAGCTGTTGCAGTCACTTGGGGAGTGAATCATTGGATGGAAGATCTTTCTGTCTCTCCTCTTCTCTGTATATGTGCCTTTCAAATAAAAATAAAGAACCAGAATGGGTGTGGGCTGGTAGAGCAAGGCCACTGTTCCTGCCAGCACAGGAGGTGGACAAAGTCCACCTGGCCGAGGACCCAGCTGTGTGTGAGGACTGCCTCTGGGGAGAGACCTGACAGAGGAGCTTGGGAAACTCCTTTGTCAGGATGCAGTCCCTGCAAGTGAATGCAAGAATCAAGGCAAGGAGCAGCCCACCATGCCAGGATACAGTACCCACCAGCATTCATGTGGGTCAGGTCTGGGAACAGGTCAGCCTGGGTCAATTTATAACATCCACGGGCAGATCTGAGAACCAAGACAGGGTGCAGGAGGAGCCAGGCCACAACACCAGCTAGTTCACATTAGGGCCAGGACAGGGATCAGGCTGGGCTGGCTTCGGCACCCACCAGCAGGAGCTGGAACTGAGGGCAGACTAGACAGAGCCAGGCTGCACAGCACAGCAGCCTGGGTCAGTGGGTTCTGGACTCGTGAGCCCTGGAGGCCGGGGAGTCGGTGGGGCTTGGCATGCTTGGCCGGGGCCTGCCTGTAAGATGGGTGCTGGGCTTGTGAGTCCTGGGAGTAGGGAATCCGGTGGGTCTCGGTTCACCTGGCTTGGGTCCTGTGAGGTGGGTGCCAAGTTAGTAAGCACCAGGGGCAGGGGATCTGGTGCAGCTGGGGTTGCCTGGCCCAGATCCTTGAACTTACCTGCAAGAATATGCCTTCCTCAGTGAAAGAGGTAGAGCAGCAGACACAGACCGTGATGCACATGGAGAATATGGAAGCCCATTTGGTTCCATAGCAGAACAAATTGGACAACTACCCCAGCCAATGACAGCAAAAATCTGGGTGAATAGAGACTTGAGGTTGACTTTGTCAGCCAGTGGACAATGGGAGGGCTTCTTCATCCTTGGATTGGCAAAATCGACAGCATTTCAGAACTTGGCAGAACCCTCGGAACATGCACACATGGGACCCGGGGTTGATACTGGGTGGTGGCTCGCCTTCCCTGGGTACTGGGATATTTGGGAAGCTAGGTGTGGCTCCCCCCTTTATCTCTCCCTTTTCCCCAGAAATAAGAATAGCAAATTTAGAAATAATTTCACTTACTTATCCCTAACCCTTGATCCTTCCAAGCCTGATCAACCATGCAATTATCATGAAAAATTAAAACAAACAACAAAAAAACGGACACTTATTTTAAATTTTTTATTTGAAATACAGATGTGCAGAAAGAAGTCTTTCGTCTGTTGGTTCACTCCCCAAATGGTTACACTGGCTGGGGCTGGGCCAGACTGAAGCCAGGAGCCAGACCACTATCCTGGTCCCCCATCCGAGTGACAGCAGCCTGAGCACTCGGGCAAACTTCCACTGCTTCCTCAGCAGCCCCGTCAGGGAGTTAGATTGTTGGTGGAGCAACCAGGGCTTGAACTGACTGTTATATGGGATGCCAGTATTGGCAGGCAGTAGCTTAACTGGTTCTACCACAACGCCAGCCCCAAGACATCTAACTTCTTCAGCAGGGTTTGGGGGCCCTGCAGGGAGCGTTTCTGTAGGGTAACTATCAGAAGCTGTGCTTCAGCAGCCTTCAGCTCTACCAGGTGCCCCTGGGGCTCCATGACTACTTGGGCTGGTGCAGGGTGACTGATGACTGTGAGGGTCCAGTGCCCATCCAGGACCCGAAGGACACACATGGCAGGAGCTGTGAGGGTGGGGAGACGGCCAGTTCCCAAGCTCCGCACAGGCTGGACCACAGAATGGCTTTGCAGAAATGACAGCTGCAGCTTAACCTGGCCAGCTGTGTGGACATTAGCCCTGGCAGAGCCCTAGCCAGGGCCGGGCTAAGCAAGTGGAGAGAGCCTCCAAGGCAGGGAGGGGGCCTGGGACCGGCCAAGCTCAACACTACTGCCAGATGCACTGTCCTTGAGGCTGCCCGCCGCATGGAAAGGTCGTGTCTGAGCCTGTGGTTGACGTCACCACTGTGCAGGAACCAAGTGCGTGCCTGTGCCAAGCTCAGTGACACTGGCAACGTCTCTGACCTTGCCTGGGTCCTACAGGAGTGTCTGCTGGTGCAGACCCCGAGAAGCTATAGGGGCAGTTCAAATAGTGGGGTCCTTGGGTGAAGTTTCCACCTCCAGCTTTGGCCTCAGCTTGATCCTGGCTACGTGGGCACTTGGGGAGGGAAACTGAGGATGGCCGACCTGTCTGTGCTCAGGGACACCTGGGAGCCTGGCTGGAGGCCTCCATCCTCCACAGCCACAGCCTGGCACCTGGGCCCCTCACTGAAGCGGCAGGACGCAGCAACACCGCCTGCTACAGAGACTACCTTCGTGCATACAAGGGCAGAAGTGTGGTCAGCTCAGCCCAAGCCCAGGTTCCACATGGGCAGGCAGGGGGCTGCCCAGCCACGGTGACAGATGTGTCCAGCAATCTTACACCTTTATTTTGGATTTTTATTTATTTGAAAAGCAGAATTGGAGAGAGAGAGAGGAAAGGAGAAATCTTCCATCCATTGATCCATTCTTCAAATGGCGACAAATCCCAGTCTCTAGCATGCAGGAGTCCAAGCCCTTGGGCCGTTCTCCACTGCTTTCTCAAGGATGTTAGTGCGGAGCTGGATACAAAGTGGAACAACCAGGACTCGAACTGGTGCCCACATGGGACGTTGGTGCCACAGGCGGTGGCTGAATCCACTGTGCCACAGCACTGGTCTCATCCAAATTTTGCTCAGATGTGGCTGTGTCACCAAGCTCATCTAGCTACTCCCTTCTTCCTCCTTCCTACTGATTCGCTTCCCACGACCATCATTAAATGTGCCGTCTTGTCTGGCCACGAGATTCCCAGAGGCCACCTGAGCTGACGGAGAGGCCTCCACAGTCTCTGAATGCAGCTGACTCTAGGAGGGGCCCAAGTGAGTTCAGGGCCAAGGGCACAGTCTGCAGACGGCGCAAGTGGCCCAGGATTCCAGCTGATTCTGATCCAGCCCCACACGGGACGTGGTCTAGGGCTAGATAGCCCAGACCTAGGCCCAGTGTCAGAGCCAGGGACTCCCTGTGACGCATAGCTCTGCCTGGTGGGGGTGGGTTCCTCTCTCTGCCCACAGCCCCTGTGAGGGTCCTCAAAGACCCCCGAGCCTTCCCCCAACAAGCTGTCATTTTCATCTGCTCCTATATGGGATACAAGGCGACCCAGCCTCCACGCATTCGGGGTAGAGCTGGCACTGGGAGGGCCCTGGTGACTGGGACCATGTATAAAAACTTGTGTGCCCATCACCTTAAGGGCTTTCATCAGGCCATGGAAGCCCTGCCCCCTCATGCCAGGTACACACAGGCCTTTGTCTGGACCCAACCCCAGAGGGCTGGGCTCTTACAGCACAGAGCAGGAAGAACAGCTAGCTGTGTGGACCAAAACCACAGAGCACCCGTGAGCAGAAAGAACCAGCAGCCAGAGAGAACAGAGCCCTGGGTGGAGGCTGCGGTACCAGCCACCGCCCAGTCCCTTCACTGGAGAAGAGCCAGGGCCACTCACAGTTGTGTTACAGCCCCACTGGAACTCCCAGAGATCCGAGTGACAGCTCCAGGAACACAGGGATGTACTATCAGTCTCTGGATCCCCTGCAGCACCATGGGACTCAGGGTTCCAGAGCCTCACTTCTGGCACAGCAGCAAGGGCACCAGGTGCCTCTGACTGCATGGACCCCTTGCTTGCTGTGGGCCACACAGCCATGGCCAGTGCTGGGCAAGCCATGTGCCAGGCACTGGGAGGCAAGGAGACAGGCTGGCCAGGGAGGAGGCGGCAGACCCCGACAGGGCCACCGCTGCTTCCTCCTCTGGAGAAGGGAACTGCAGTGCCTGGGCTGGCTCTGGTTGTGTCCCCAGTGCAAGCAGGGTCCACTGACAGGTGTCCTTCCTGCTCCTGTGGGTGAAGGCAGGCCGCATATGGCCCTGAGGCCCAGGTCCACCCAGAGCTAAGCCCCACAGCCTGGCTGTTACCCGGGACTGGGCAAGGACTTCATCTCCAGTTGGAGTTTTGCGCACCTCAGCCGCCTCAACCACCACCTCGCTCACACCAGAAGCAAGAAAGCAGGCCCTGGGCTGCACACCCTGACTTGTACCCATTGCCCGAGAACACTTCAGGATCAGTGCTTCTTAAGGCCAGCTCCCTCTGGGTCCTGCTAACTGGATCTGTTGGGCCCAGGTGCTGCCTTGGCATTCCTCAGCATGGAGCACCAGGACAGGTGCAGGCACCCCTGGCCTTGGCACAAGGCTGAGGCTGCGGGGGCAGTTGCTGTGCAGAATCGAGAGGCACCAGTAGTGTCACAGACTGCCGGGTGATGGCAGCTTTGTGAGCTGCATCCATTAGATGTGACTCTCAAGGTCCCTAGGACCTCTGCCTGAGCTGGATGGTGCTCCGGGGAACCAGCAGGCCAGGTCCAAGCTGCATGTGCACGCCTTACAGTCCTAGGAGCCAGGGGAGGCTGGTGCACAGGACACCCCCACAGGGTGGCACAGTCCGAGCACTGCCAGGCCTTGCTTGGGCAGCTCACCCAGCTGGACTACGGTGCTGTCATCGCACTCTGCTCACCGTGGTCCATGCTCCAAAGGCGGTAAAACTCAGCAAAATCCACGTAGGGCTCGACACGGCCATCCTCGGCAGGTGGGAGTGCGTGGGCCGGGCGGGAGCGGAAGAGGCCGCCGTCGGAGCTGGAGCTGCTGCTCTGGGTGTGTGTGCTGGTGGACTGCAGGGTCAGGGTCGGGCTCTGGCTGCGGGCACCACAGGCAGGAAAGGAGTCAGGGGACATGCCCACTGGGCTGAGTGCAGGGAGTAGGGGCAAAAAAGGAAGCGGCCACTGGGCCGCCGCTTTGTGGACACAGCTGGTGGCTTTCTCGGAGAACCCAGCGGGGTGCAGGACCAGCCACCCCAACTGCAGCCCAGAAGCCCCAGCTGTTCTCAGGGCATGGAGGGAGAGCCGGGGACTTGGGGGATTTCCAGCCCACAGCAGTGGGGCAGCAAGACAAAGGGGCAGGGGAAGAAAGGCCCTCCTAATTGGCCACATCCTGCCTGGGCCCAGCCTGCAGAGCCCTGGCCAGTGGAACGAGGGTGTGGCTTCTCTATTATACTGGGCAGATTGTGGAAACAAGATCCCAGCCCCCTGGGGCAGCGGCTGGGGGGCATTCCACACAAGCAAAGGAGGTGGAAAGAAGGGGCCAGGCGGGTCTACACTCAAGAGGGGACCTCTGACACCCTGATCCTGGGCTGCTCCACCCCTACATGCCCCTGAAACCCGAGAGCCCCCTGCAGAGCTGACACAGTCCACAACGCCCCCTAAACATGGGTGACATGCGGGAAGCCAGCTCGCCTGCGGATGAGGAAGTGTACAGGAACCTTTCCCACTGAGGAACACCAGAACGGGCCCAGGACCAGCAGGCAGCTAGTGGCAGTGACCAGAAGAGACCTGCTGGCCTCCCCTCTCCCTGGCCCAGCTTCAGGGAGCCTCTGATGCCAGGACATCCCCATGGAAGAATGGGGTCCCAGGGCTTACTTGGTGAGGGTGGGTGTGGCCTCATCCAGGGTGGAGGCACTGTGAGCCCCGTTGACCATCTGGCCCTGGGAGGGCATGACAAGGGAGAGGGTCACGCTGGTCTTGCTGGTGCTCTGGGCGCTGGAGTAAGGCACGGACACCGGGTACACGCGGCCCCCTGCAGCTGCGGGAAGGAGAGCACAGAGGGCACGTGGCTCACAGGGGACACTGAGCAGTCAGCAGGGACAGCGGCCCCATGGGGCAGCTCCAAGGACATGTCCTCCAGGCTGGACGGAACCTCCCGTCGGCGGGGGAAAGGAGGAACTGAACCAGGGGCTGAGCCGCTTCCCAGGGATGTTTGCTTCCGCTTGAGGTTGACCCAATGAAAACATGGCCGCAGTAAGTCAGGGACGCTGCAGGAACCCTGGGGACCACAGGAGAACGAAGCTCCAAGATCGGTTTGTTTAAAAAAGACAAAGATAAAGCAACAATGAGTTGTGGCACAGCAAGATGAGCCATCGTCGGCGATGCTGACCTCTCAAAGGGGTTTAAGTTCAATTCCCAGCCATTCCACTTCCGATCCAGATCCCTGCTAATGAGCCTGGGAAAGCAGCGGAGGACGACCCAAGGGCTTGGGTCCCTGCTGACTGTGCCAGAGACCTGGATGGAATTCCAGGCTCCTGGCTTCAGCCACCCCACTCCCGACCTGACCACCAGGGCCATCTGCAAAGTGACCCAGTAGATGCTTGAAGAGTCTGTCTCTGCCTCTTCCTCACTGCCGACCTGAACAGGAAGGAGTGTAGGCTGTAGGCACGGAAAGCCTATGTGTTGGGCAGCTTGGGCAGGTGGTCAATGAAAGGAGCAGCAGGCAGGGAAGTGGCCCCCGGGCACTGGGGCAGGGCCTGCCTCTGGCCTCAAACCCAGCCTCACCCCACAGCCCTTCTTTCTTGAGTCTCGGCCTCCCTCCCCTCCATCCTCTGAGTCACGAAGCAGGCTAAGTCGAGGCACTGCAGGCGACATGCCTGGCACACAGAGGGAAGGGCCCTGGCAGCAGGGGCCAGGGTCTCAGATGTGGAACCCTGTGTGGCAGCCCAGGGTAGATGCATGTGGACAGGTCGAGAGCCTGGGTCACAACCGCTCAAGGCCAGACCTGCAGGTCAACCTGCACACCATGCACCAGGCCACCACTCAGCTCCAGCTCCTGGACAGTGCCTTGGGTGACGCTCGGCTGCAGGGAACACGTACCTGGGGCCGGGGTTGGTGTGGGTTGGCTCAGTTCACCCAGTGGGTAGCCGAAGTTCCTCACCAGCAGGGTCATGTCCTCGTGCCGGGGGCAGAACTTGGCACGCTCCCCGCCACTGGCGAAGGTGTCACTGTGGATACGCCTCACCCGGTCCACCACAGCCTGGGCCACTGCATCCAGCGAGGTCTGCTTGGCGAACTCTGTGTCAATCATGGCGGCGATCTCCTGGGGGTGGGGAGCGGGACAGTGAGGAACAGAAGTGACCCAGGCACTGTGGGCCCACACTCAGGAGACCCAGGGGTCACGGGCTCAGCAGGTGCAGGAAGTGCCTGACAGCCAAGTTTGCAATCTGAACTTGTCAAGGTATTCAGGATAATGCTTCTGGAATCTTCTTACTGGAAAAGCTGCATGACCTATAGTCTCTGATGCTGCTTCCACCTCTCTAAAAAGTGATATGCTTTGCCTCCCGGGTCTCTGTGAGGGAGGTTACATAATAGAACCGGGGACAGCAATACTCGGACGACTGCTGAAGCCCAGCTCACACAGTCACCGTCAAGCATGCCTCCCTGGAACACACTAACATCAGGGACTGGGGCTGCAGATCAAGATGGGGTCTCTGCCTTTAGCAAAATCCACAACCCAGAATATTCCAGAACCTAGTAAAAGCCACTGGATAATTCTACTGGGAAGACCAAGGTGGAAAGGAAAAAAGGAAACTCACACTGACTAAAAACATTCAAAGCACAGAGACAAAACGTCCTCTAGGCTGCCTGCCAGTCTCTGTGCGCAGGGGCAGGCGCTGAAGACTGGAGCCATTCTGGGGGCCGGTGCCCTCACCAGCCATCCTCATCTGTTACCTCAGGCCGGACCCCAAATCCTGTGGCTCCAGGGTCCCTCCTCAGGCAGGTGGGAGTCACTGCCCTTCTGTTACAAGCCATGACGAGAGGGAAACCTTGGCAATGGGCCAGGGAGACTGGAAGTGTTGGGCAGTCTTCTGCGTGTTTCAAGGCACCAAGGTTAGGTGACAATGGCTTCCCTCCACGTGCCTTGGTCACATGTGGTGACAGCTGTCTGTGCTGGTGCTCCAGGGCCACACCCAGCTAGGGGCCCCCTGTTTCCTATATGAACCCACTGACTCCACACCAGAAAGAAATGAAGAAGGGGTCAGGACAGACCTGTGGAGCCCCGGGGTCCGCGAGGACTTGTGGCAGGACCCCAGTTTCCAGGGAGCAGCACCCATCCAGGAGCCCCCAGAGTGACATTTGCCCAGGGAACTGCCCTCCCAGCTTGGCCTTCACTGGGGCCCTGGGAATGGCTGTGGCTTTACGCCCACAAAGAGCGAGGCCTCCAGGCAGGCCTCCGCTCTTCCTTTCCCCAGCCTTGAGTCCAGAGAACAGGCTCTGCCGTGGCCACAGTGCTGCCCAGCTCACCTGATTGGCCTGCCCAGGTCCATGGGCCGCCTCCAGAGCCTTGTAGAGCCCCTCAGACATGAGCACTAGGAAGCCGGTCACCCCATCCAGGGGCTGGGCGCCGTGGATCTCCGGCTCTGCGATGATGGGCTTGGATTTGGCAGCGCTGCCGGGAGAAGGAGAGGGTTTGGGTGGGGCAGGCCTGAGGCGCACACCGACGGCCCAGACGGGAGACAGAACACACAACTAGACCAGAGGTAGGGACAGCGAGGAAGGGACCAGGAGCAGGCCTATCCTCTGCAGCTGCCGAGACAAAGCTCCAAGGTGGGGAAGCCACCGCTCAGGGGTGGGACAGCCAAGGTCAACCCCTCCATCCCTGTCCACAGAGCTGGCCATGGGAGGTAGGGGTGTGAGCGCCAGGGTACGGGAGGCATATCCTAAAGGCCTTCTTCTCTGCTATCCTCCTGGTTGCTCCCAAATAAGTGTGCAAGCCAAAGGGGCACAGATGTAGAAGGTACCTACGAGGGCGTCAGGCATAGCCGGGGGAGGTTCCATCGTGTGTGTGTGCACGCACATACACAGGCAGCCACAAGGTAGGCACAGGTGAAGACGCAGTGGGATTCTGATGGCCGTCAGAGCCGGCCGACATGGCAGGTGGGCAGGACTCATGCTAACACTAAGTGACCTGTGACTTTGCGCCAGGCACCTTGGATCACACGCACTAACAACGCAGTTTACGACTGATAGGATAAGGCACAGCCAGCAGGCCGGCGCTGCTGGCCACTTGGGGCCTCTCAGGGTAGGTGCCTCGCTCAGATGTCTAGCAACAGGTGGGCTGGGGTGGGAGGAAGACCAACTGCATTGCTTATAGCCCAAGCACTGTGTGACCCTTGCTTCTAATATGCAAACAAAAACCTACAAGCTGGGGATGAAAGTTCCAGGTGCCAGCTCCTGGATCTCAGAGGGGAGGGAGTCAGTTGTGTCCTCCGCCCTGCAGGACCCACCTCTGTGGATGGGCCCAGCAGTACGATTCCCCACAGCCCGGTGGCCAATTCAGTGCTTTGATGGGCATCACACACGTATGCCCACCTCCCCAGCTCTTGCCTCACACACAGGACCGTCCCTGGGTCAGGACTTGTCCCACACCAGGCCGCCTGGATCCCAGTCCCAGCTCAGCTCATCATCAGTTGTGCCTGCACAGGCTACCTGATGTCCACACACAGTTGGCTCATGTTAACTGTCCCAGGGACAGGGTGGACACCAGCTCACCGTGTCTGAGCAGGGCTGAATAGAAGAAAGCATATAAAGGGCTGGGCTAGGCTCAGCACTACCAGGGGTCACGCCTCCTACTGGCCACTGTGCCGCAGCGGGCAGGGGGTGTCCTGGGTTGAATGTGGACAAAGCAGACCATGCCTGCTCCTGCCCCTGCCCCTACCATGGGCAGCACCAGCCAAGCCCCTGGTCTGTCCCCACCCCAGCCAGGCACCCCATGCAGCTTCACTTGCTCCTGCTGTCCTTGCCTTTAGGCTAGTTCTCGACTTGCTGCTAGTAAGCAACGACTAGCCACCCCACACCCACTCTCTGCAAGAGAGGTCTGAATTGCCTCAGCGGCACCTGTGTTGTTGGAGCCCCCCACTTGCCCCGGCTCTCTGGTCATCCACCCACCTCAGCAGCTCGATGTCGGTGTAGCCGTACTTGACCTTGTAATCCCCGATGCGCCTGGTGCTCTCCTGCCCACAGATGACGCCCACTTGTTTGATCTTCACTGCATCCAAACCTACCAGCACGGAGAACAAGGCAACAAGCCCACTTCTCGTTCATGGAGAGCAAAAGAAGAGGGCAGACTGGGCTGGCACAATGGCTCAAATGACTAATCCTACACTGCAAGTGCCAACCTCCCCTATGGGCACCAGTTCGTGTCCCGGCTGCTCCACTTCCCTTCCAGTTCCCTGTCTGTGGCCTGGGAAAGCAGTGGAGGATGCACAAAGCCTTGGGACCCTGTACCCATAAGGGAGACTTGGATGAGGCTCCTGGCTCCTGGCTTCAGAATGGCCACTGAGACCTCTGTCTCTCCTTTTCTTTGTAAAATTGTCTTTCCAATAATAATAAATACATCTAAAAAAGTGGGGTCACAGACACAGCAAATAGTCAGAGGCAGAGGCCCAGCAGATGGGCATGAAAAGGGTGTCAGGTACCCCGGCCTGCCGCTGCCCCTATGTCCTGAGGGCCCTGTGCCCAGCCGAGGAAAGCACAGCTCACGGGCCCCTCATGTGCCAGCTCAGTGCCACCCAGAGCTGCTGTGGACACCTCAGCCCAAGCAGCACACTGCCCCCACATCCTCCCCAGGCTTGCCAGCTTACCGCCGAGGAGGCAAGGGGTGACCCCAAGTCCCATGGGGTCCCATGGGACTCTCAGGACCTGTCTGGTGGCCTCCATCCCCACTGGTTAGCAGTGAGCACCCCAGTATTTGGGGAAGCACCAGACACAGATTAAACACAAACCCCCCAACATGCCATTTCTGTTGTCCTCTTAACACAGATGGGAAACTGAAGAAAGCACCACACCTCACGAGCCAGCAGATGGCAAAGCAGGGACCCCAGCCCCAGCCACGGAGGGGGCCGGTGCAAGCCCTGCAGGTCCACTCACCCAGCTGCGAGAGGCGGAAGAGCTCGTCCTCATTGCTTGTGGTGTGGTCCACGTTCAGCTGCGTCACCTGCAGCCCGTCCACTGTGGACTGGCAGAGGAGCGCACGGTTTGTACCTGCAGCAGGAAGCAGGTGGCTGAGCACAGACAAGACCAGGAGACAGCAAAAACAGACCAAAGTTAGGCGACTCCTGTCTAGCACCCGGAGAAGGGCCCTGGTCAGGCTTGGTCAAGGGCTGCAGATGATAGGAACTGGGCTAACATGTAACTTTAAAAAAAAGCTATGGGCCTGGTGTGGTAGCCTAGCTGCCAAAGACCTCCTCTTGAACGTGCAAGGATCTGATATTGGCGCTGGTTCTAATCCCGGCAGCCCTGCTTCCCATCCGGCTCTCTGCCTGTGGCCTGGGAAAGCAGTCAAAGATGATCCAAAGCCTTGGGACCCTGCACCTGCAGACCCGGAAGAGGCTCTAGGCTCCTGGCTTCCGATCGGCACAGTTCTGGCCATTGCAGCCACTTGGGGAGCGAATCAACAGCTAGAAGATCTTCCTCTGTCTCTCCTCCTCTCTGTACATCTGACTTTACAATAAAAAAAAAAAATTAGAAAGAAAGAAAAAAAGTACACAATGGCCCAAACAGCCTTTGGTAGTCCAATAAAACACCATTAAAAAAAAAGTTACAGGTGATAGGACTTGCTGGGGTTGCAACAACATAACCGGAGCATGAGAGGGGGGGTCCCACGGTGACGGCTGTGGACCTGGGGACAAGCGCTGCACTCAACGCTCCTCATGGAGCTGTTCTGTGCTGGGACTTCTGTCACAATCACATCTTAAGCAGAGGAGGAAGAGAAAGCAGTCAAAACCAGGGCACTGCACTGGGCAGTGACCAGAAAGCAAGCACACAGCCCTGGGCACCCTGCCTCCAGGGGCCCCCCGGCCCAGCCAGCAGCTCACCAACGTTGGCCACGTAGAGCTTGTTGCTGAGAAGGACAGCCACGACGGCCATGGCTCCTCCCGAAACCTCCCTCTCTAGCACCTTGAGTCTCTCCAGGATCTTCTGATACTGAGGCAGCAGCTGGTGCTGTGGGACACCCTGCAAGTGGACCATCAGAGGTCAGAACACAGCTGGCCCTCAGGGACTGTCCCTCCAGAGCAAGGACCTGCAGGCCGAGGGCGCAGCCAGGGCAGGGAGCTCTGTGCAACCCAGGGCAGGTTCCTCCGGGAAAGTAGTGGACAAGGTTCTGGTGGGTGCCTGGGCTGTGGACCCATGCAGACCACTGCGCGCAGAAAGGCCTTGCCTCCTGTCTCACTGACCACCCAGTGCTGAGTGAGGCTGCCCACGGAGGGCTGAGGAGGCACCTTTGAGGGCAAATGGCCTTCCCCACCTTCCCCACAGGGGCCCTCTGCTGGAACCCATCTGCTCAGCCTTTTGTGTCAGTGGCCTGTAAGTGACACTACCTCTGGCAGCTGGGACTGCAGGCTGGCCTTCTCAGCCAAGGCATCGTCGATGGACTCCAGGAAGCTCCTCTCCACCACATCGAAGGCCTGCAGGGACAGAGCACACAGGTGACAGCTGGCTCACATGGTCACCTTACACTCCAGCGCCTCCCACTGGCAGCAACCAGCTCCCTGCCCACACCCCTGTGTGATGGCGGCTTCACCCCCAACCCCCTGCAAGGCCCCCGCTGCTTCCTGGGACTGTTATAAAGGCAGGCTGCGCCACCCAGGTGGGCAGGCAGAGTGGTGGGAGGCCGGGAGGACAGTCAGGCAGGAGTGCACAGCTGGGAGAGGCGGTGAGGACACCCAGCTGGGCAAAGGTCAGCCCGAAGGCAGCTCCTCTGAGAGGGCCCCTCTCACGCCCTGCTGGCCATGGCCCTTCCCCCAGGGCGGGGGGGGGGGGCGGTGAGATGACAGGCACGGAACCCTGGGGCTGGGCAGGAAACAGCTAGGGCAGTTGTCCTGGAGGACTGAGAAGCCCCTGCTAACCCACAACCACAGGCCTCTGTGCTCCCCACAGGAGAAGGGACCTGAGCCCCAGCAGCAGAATGACAAAACTGCTCACCGGGACACGGCCCACTGCCCCGCCTACCTAGGGTCTTTCAGAACCTGAGGTCAAGCACTGGCTAGATGGAAAGGAAAGGGGTCACTGGACGTTATCTCACTTCCATCAGGCCCTACCCCGCCACCCCCTTGCTGTCAATCACTGAGACTGGCTGCTTCCCGCCTCATCCTAGTCCTGGACATGTTGGGGGCCTGCTCCTGCTGGAAGCTGCCCCTTCGCAGGGTCAAGATGCTGGCAACACTGCATGGCTGTGGGGGCCCCAAGCCAACTGGGCCCCAGCAGCCTGAGCCCTGTACCTGCAGCAGCACCCGGCGCACATCAGCCTCTGTGTGTTCAGCACTGAGCTGGCCCAGCAGCAGTTCTGCCGACAGGCGCTGGGCCACGAAGTTGGTCACCCGGTTGCCATCGTAGCCGTTGAAGACCCCATACAGGAAGCAGTTGTTCTCACTCCTGGGAAAGGGGTTGAGGGCAGCGAGAGATGCAGCAGCTGTGGCTTCAGAGGCCCACTCTGGCCACCTTTTCACTCTGACCTTGTGGGTGTCCTATATACACACACATACCCACAGCTGGTGGACACACACTGGTGCCCTACACACACACACACACACACGCAGAGCTGGTGGACACACACTGGTGCCCTACACACACACACACAAACACACACACACGCAGAGCTGGTGGACACACGCTGGTGCCCTATACACACACACAGACACAGCTGGTGGACACACACTGGTGCCCTACACACACACACAGAGCTGGTGGACACACACAGCTGGTGCCCTACACATACACACACACACAGCTGGTGGAACAGGAAGGGGCAGCGGCCCCTACCAGGGACCTCATCTCAGTGACAAGCCCCACATGCAACAGTTCTAGGAAAAGTGCTCTTTTCTGCTTGCCCGGAAGGGTGATGCTGCCCTCACACCTGAACTTGAGCCAGTTGTCCTCCGGTGGGTGGCTCTCGGTGCTCTTGCCGTCAGCTGAATAGCAGCGGTTGGAGGCCGAGCCCACCCCGGAGAGGTGGCAGAGCGGCAGGTCATCCGTCCAGCTGGGCTGCTGCTCCTGGGAAGGACACAGGACACTGTGAGGCTACACCTTCCTCCCCTGACTAGATCCCTCCCCGTCTTTTTCTCTTACAATAAAAACCCACTTATTTATGGAAAGCGGCCATGCTCACATGAACAGACACTAATCTGCCCAAGGGAGGGCTGTTCTTAAAGCCAGTCCAAAGTGGTTCCGAGGACCCAGCCTGCAGGAGCAAGCTACGCAGTGCACGTATCGGTGGGAGACTTGGCAGCACCCCTACAAGCCAGTCTATCACTCTCCAGCCCACAAGGACCCCCTCCTCCCTGGGTCACGTCCCTCCCAGCCCACGCAAAAGCCTACAGCCTTTTACACCCTACCCTTACTTTCCACAAGGAGTGTCTCATTTTATTCCTGCCTTAACGGAAAATTTATCTTATTTTGGGGGGATGGGGACAGGGGTGGAGGGAGATGCAAGGCAGATCAACCGAGAACTCTGTTGTGCATGGCTTTCCTGCCCAAAAGCCTGCAACAGCTGAAGCTGCGCTGAAGCCGAGGGCCAGGGACTCCATCTGGGTTCCCACGTGTGAGGGCGCCCCTGAGCAGGCAGCTGGATGGGAAGTGGCGGTGGGACTCCAAAGGGGGCGCTCTGGTACACCACAATGCCCACCCGCATCTCCTCATGTGGCCAACTCCACAGCCTCTGCACTCCCTGGCTCACAGGTCACCACTTCCATTAAGTCCTTCTTCAGGAAGCCTCCCCAGGCTTGCCCCACCGCCACCAGCCCTGCCCGTGTGGGACTTGCTTCTCCCCCACAGATCTGCAATCAGGCTGGGTGACCTCACGCCAGCCATGCTTCCTACGTGGGCACAGGCCCACACGCATACATCCCCTTTGAGCTCCCCAGGGGTCCTTCAGGCACGCCCTAAGCATCATTTCTCTGTAGTGCAATCTAGGTTCCCCCAACCATCGGTGAAAGTCCGCCCCTGCCTCCCACCTGAGAACACGGCCTTGCACACTGCCCCAAAGAAGAAAACTAAAGGAACTGGGGGACTCGAAGTTCAGCTCCCTGCAACAAAAGGTTTTGCTGGAAAACTGGGCAAGACTACCAAGGGGGGCACAGGCGGCAATGGTCTCCCAAACCGACAGGAAGGCACTTGGCCAGGCTTTGGCCATTAGGTGGGCCAAAAGCCCGTGGCTAGCTTTTTGTGGCACAGTAAGTCTTCTGTTTATTTACGTACGGACAGGAAGCGACTGGGGGATTTTCCTCCACTGTGAGGCTTCCACGTTGCCTCCAGCTATTTTAGTTCTGCCTCTAACACCCTGAGCCACTTCTGCAATGTGTGGGTGTCTGTTTGATTTCCAAATTAACATGTAGTAAGACTGCCTTTCTTGGGTGTGCAGTTTTACAAATGTCGGCACGTGTACAATCTATCTTGAGCCCCACGACAGGACACATCACCCCCAAAGCGCCCTCGTGCTGCGCCTTTGGACGGCTCCCTCCCCCAAGTGCCGACAGCCACTTGGTCTGTCCGGTTTTATCCTCTCACGAACATTACACACAGCAAGTGAGGCGCGGAGGTCGGCCTCCAGCGCTCTGCTGGCCAAGACCTGGCCTGGTGGCCGCTGCGCGCGTCGGCCTGCGGAGGGGCAGTGGTTTAGGCATCCGCTTGTTGGAGGACAGCTGGCAGCTTCAGGATTATTTAGGGATTATGACGTGCACTGGTATACGCCTTCGCAGATTCTGTGTGAACTTTCTATCTTCTCACATTACGTACCAGGGGTGAGAGTGCCGGGTCACATGCTTAAGTCCTTTTACAAGAAACTGGCAAATGTTTGTCCGGCAGTGGCCGTTTCATTCGCATCCCACTAGCAACACGGACATCTGTCCCCCCGTCCCCTAAGGCAGACACTCCCCCAACTCAGAGAGCAGCAGCACCCCACCACGGGGGCTCTCACTGCACCTCAGCAGTGGCTACTGCAGGGTCTGAGTGAAAGCCCACTTGTGCGTGGGTAATGTGTTCCAATTGCTGAATTCAAAGGGTTCTTTACATATTTTGGACAAAAGCCCTTCCTTGAATGTGGAATTGGCAAATCTTTGTTTCAAGTTTCTAGCTTTTTATCTCATTCACTCGAGCCAAGCTGACCCTGCAGTTCTGGTGAGGCCACACCCGCGCTTCTCCCGTGGCTTAGGCACCACACTCCCGGCCCAGCCCCAGGCACGAGGGCTCCGGGAGCCTGCCTTACAGCTCTACACTGTTCAGATATGTCACCAATTTTGAATTACAGTATGAAACAGAGGGTTTCTGTCAAATTTTGATTTTCTTTTAAAGATCTACTTGATCTTTTGTTTTTAATATATTTTTTTTTTTTGGAAAGGCAGATTTACAGAGAGAAGGAAAGACAAAGATCTTTCAACTGCTGGTTCGCTCCCCAAGTGGCCGCAGCTGCCAGAGCTGAGCTGGTCTGAAGCCAGGAGCCAGGAGTTTCTTCTGGGTCTCCCTCATGGGTGCAAGGTCCCAAGGCTTTGGGCCGTCCTCCAGTGCTTTCGAAGACCACAAGCAGGGAGCTGGATGGGAAGCGGGGCAGGGCTATGAACCAGCACCCATACAGGATCCTGGTGCACGCAAGGCGAGGACCTTAGCCACTAGGCTCCCACACAGGGTCTGTTTTTGCTTTCTGAGTATGGAGATCTGATGACTTCAGCAGCACGTGTTGGGAAGGTTGGTCTTCCCGCACTGAGTTGCCTCTGGGTGTCAAACATCTGTATGTGTGTGGCTTAGCGTGCCAGGTTGCCTCTTGCAATGCACACAACCCTACTGGAGTCTCTGCTCTTCTGTTCTGATCCAGCTCCCTGCAAACGCACTTGAGAGGCAGCAGGGCCAGCCCAGGTGCGTGGGCCCCGGTCACCCAGGGAGTAGACCAAGATGGAATTTGGGCACCTGGCTTCAGCGCTGGTTGGTGTGGCCATTTTGGGAGTGAAATCAGTGGATGGAAAATCTGTTATTCAGCTGCTCAGCCTTTTCAAAACTGTCCTGCCCATCCCATGAGGCTTTGCATGTAAGTTTTAGGATCAGTTGCCCTGAATCTGCAGAGCCTTGCTGGGATGTTGAATGGAACGGTCTGAATGTCTAGAATGTTCTGGGGAGAACTGACACCAGACTTTTGACTTTTCAGGCCACCATCATCACTGCGTCTGCCCTCTGGCTACTTGACGAGACTTTTACTAACGTGGTTTTACTCACACCACCTCACCATTGCGTGCAAAGTCACTAGTGCCTTGGAGAACAGAAAACATAGCCAGGACCTGCTGATGGACAGGAAATGTGAGGCCAGTTCTGTTCAGCTCTCGAGGACCCAGGAATCTAACACTTCCACATCAAGTGATGGCAAGTGTGACCTCACAAGAATTCCCAGCTCTGACTCTGGTGCGTCTCCTTGTAAAGCCAAACAACGCCCCCTCCTGAGATGCACAGAAATCAGGTCTGTGGAGCCAGTATGATGTGTGTGGTTCCAGTGTCATCAGTTCACACACACATCCTCAGCTAACGCTGGCTGATTGTGTCCAACAGGACGCCATCAGTCTACGCACCGAGGGAGGAGACAGAGGGTCCTGGTGTGAGCCCATCTTCCAGAAGTGTACAAACAAGGCAACTACTGCCAGGGGTGTACACTACATCCCAACAGGGTGGAATGTGCTGGGCTCAGGGAAGAATTGAAGGCCATGTGGCCTCTGCCAGGAATGCACCAGAGGTGGCTCCAAGCCACACGTACACACACGTGCATGTGTGTGCCGGGTGTGAGGCCCATCCTGTGCAAGGAACGAGTTGCCAGAGCGTTAATTTTCAAGGCACTGACATGGCACCAATCAGCTCTGAGGTCTCAGAGCCACCAAGGCATTCCCACTGCAAGATCCTCCGTGGGTTTAGGTGGCCTGGTAGGCACACCTCCCAGGGGGCCTCCTTTTCTAGGGTCTGCCTCTGCATGCAGCAGAACTGACACACACCTAGGTTCCGCACGCAGGAGCGCCCCAGGTGCCCCCGATGGACAGTCACAGACCATGCTCACATGCAAAGCCGCCACCACAGAGCCCCTCTCCTGCTAGGGGCAGACAGACTTCCAGGGACCTGAATCCTTCCAACAATCCCACACTTCCCAGCGGAACAGAAACACCGCGTGAACAATGTACGGGCCTCCCTTGGCATTAGGCGATGGGCCATTGGAAGCACTGACCACTGGACCACCAGTCTCACACACAACAAGAAGCAAACAAGCTCAGCCAACTGAGGAACTTGCTGTGTCGGTGTCGAGGGACAACTCAGCCAGGAGCATCCCCCAGGGGCACCTGGGCTCTTTCTATCAGCCGGTGCCTACCGGGCTGACCATGAATAACAAACTGCCAAGTTGAGAAATGACATTACAGTGGCACTCAGTGAGCACCTGGGACACAAGGGAACTTGCGAAAACACACGGAGCAACAGAATCCAAGGCCGCATTTAGGGGATTGGCGTTGGGATGCAGGGGCTCAAGCCACAGCCTGCGGAGGCAGCCTTTCTACCACACTGGAGTCTTGGGTTGAGTCCTGGCTGCCACAGTTCCTATCAGGCTCCCAGCTGACATGCAGGGTCTTTGCTATCCATTTGTGAGACCACGAAGGAGTTCCACGCAGCCTGGACCAACCAGTTTACGTTCTGAACATAAATTTTTTCCGGTATTGTTAAATGGAAAACCGTATTAGTAGCCATACCTTGAAGACAACAGAAGATGAACACCAAACAAGGTTATTCAAGTCTATAGACCACGAGCAGAAATCCAGTCCTACATTTTCATGAAGCAAGATCAGTGTCAGACAGTGGTCGGGGGCATGCTAGGAGTGGACATTCTCTGACTCAGAGTGGGAGAGAACCGACGGCAAATGGCAGTGACCATGAGGATTTGCGTCCTTGCCCCTCCAGTGCACGCATCCAGGCTCTGTAAGAACACTGCCCAAAGTCCAGGGTCCCTGCCCTGAGTCTCCCCCATACACTCGCACGCTGTCTCAATGATCACAAGACCTGTGCTGTGCCCACTCCCACACCGCTGGAGGCAGTACAGTGCACGTGCATCTGCCGCGGGGTGTCTTCCTCGGTGCCACACAAGGCACTCACGTGCCCCCGTCATGGTGCCCTAGGTGCAGTGGCCAAGTTTCCTATCCAACATGGCAGGGAATAGGACATGCTACTTCCACAGCAGACCCCAGTGGGCACACAGTCCTCACGGCACCTGCGGCCCTGACTCAACAGCAAGGGATGGGCAATGCTGGGAGGCTGTCCTTCACCAGCACCTCCCCCACCCTGCTGTGCTCTCCCACTGCCTCCGGTCTCCCCCAGGACATCTCTGCTCCCGGCACCCATTGCTGGCATCAGGAAAACCAGCAGACTGCCTGGTCTCCCGCCTCCATCCTCTGTGCTTCTGAGCAGTTTGGAAAGGTCACATAGCTGCCGCTCACACAGCTACCCCTCTGCCCCTGCGCCCACCGAGGAGGCATCTTCCCTCCCACATCGCTAAATGCCAAGTCTGCCCACACATGGCCCAGGGTCCATGAGCCTCACAGACGCTGAGAAGGGGGTGTCTTGCACATGGCACACATGGCCTTCTCCGCACGGTGTATGCCTACGCAGCAGCAAATGCAGGCACCTCAGGCCTCTCCGAGAGGGGGTGAGGAACTGCCCCTGGGGCAGCACGCAGGGGCAGAAAGGCAGCAGACACCCAGCCTGGCTCAGCGACTGCTGCGCTGTGTGTCTGTGTCTCCAGCAGGAGCTCACCCCACTCCCCGCAGTCAGGGCTCCAGCCTTGAGTTCAGGCTCCAGCCTGAATAGCAAACTATGGCATGAAAAGGCCGAGTGTTTGTGTGGTGAAAGCCATGGATTCTGTAGAGGCAAGGAGGAAGCCGGGAAGGGAGGCGGGGCCTCTGGAGGATGGCTCCCAGGGGGCCGGGTGCAGCTAGGCTTCCCTACACGGGTTACCAGGCCCTCCTTCCTCACCGTCTGTGCGACCTCTCCTGCTGCACACCCCACTTCCCCGCCAGCCCCACTTGGTCCCCATGGCCCTGCTGGGCACCCTGAGGGGCTCCCTGTGTCAGTCGTCATCACAGAGACCAACTGGGGGCCAAGCAGCAGTGGGACCCTGCAGCAGACCGCTGGCTTAACACCTACAGGTAACAGGCTAATGGAGACCTCACACTGTTTCGTTTTGTTTTGATTTTTTTTTTTTTTTTTTTTTGCAAACAGAAAAGTTTATTTGCGAAGGGACCAGGGGAGCAGGGAAGGGAAGGAAGGGGAAGCACCCCTGGAAAGGAAGCCGGGAGGTGGGGTGCCTCTCGATAGAGGAGGGAGGGAGAGACACCTTAAGATTTATTTTTATTGCAAAGCCAGAGAGGAGGAGAGAAAGAGAGGAAGTTCTTCTGTCCAGTGATTCACTCCCCAAGTGAGCGCAACCGCAGAGCTGCGGCCAATCTGAAGCCAGGAGCCAGGAACTTCCTCCAGATCTCCCACACGGGTGCAGGGTCCCAAGGCTTTGGGCCATCCTTGACTGCTTTCCCAGGCCACAAGCAGGGAGCTGGATGGGCAGTGGAACTGCCAGGTTTGGAATCGGCACCCATATGGGATCCCAAGGCATTCAATGCGAGGACTTTAGCCACTAGATCACTGCGCTGGGCCCAAGACCAGCAGTCTATTTCATAGACGTTTTCACTTTAATGGCTCCATACTTATTTCTATGTCCATTGGAGGGGAGGGAGAGAAAATGCTGTCTACACCCACGAGCTTATAACCATCACTGCTCGACACCATTCGCAATGAATAAAAACTGGTTTCAAACAATTGGCTTTTTCTGCTCCCTGGTGTGGGCTAACTCAAACTCTACTCTGCCCGGCCCCAGGGTGTGACTAGGTTTCCATCGTCACACCTCCAATTCAAGGGAGAAACAGGTCGGCATGGTGGCTCAATAGGCTAATCCTCCTCTTACAAGTGCCTCTTACAATGTGGGTACCAGTTCATATCCCAGCTGCTCCACTTTCCATCCAGCTCCCCGCTTAAGGCCTGGGAAAGCAGTAAAGGATGGCCCAAGTTCTTAGGACCCTGTACCCATGTGGGAGACCCGGAAGAAGCTCCTGACTTTGGATCACCTCAGCTCCTGCCGTTGTGCCCACTCAGGGAGTGAACCAGTTGCTGGAAGATCTTTGTCTCCCCTTCTCTATGTAAATCTGCTTTTCCAACAAAAATATTTAAAAAAAAAAAAAAAAGAGCACAGCATGGTGACTAAAGTCCTTGCTTTGCACGCACCAGGATCCCAGGTGGGTGTCAGTGTGTATCCCAGCTGCTCCACTTTCCATTGAGCTACCCACTTGAGGCCTAGGAAAGCAGTAAAGGACAGCCCAAAGCCTTGGGACCCTGCACCCACATGGGAGACCTGGAAGAAGCTCCTGGCTCCAGATCAGCTCAGCTTCAGCCTTTGTGGCCTCTTGGGGAGTGAACCAGTGGATGGAAGATCTTCCTCTCTGACTTTCCAATAAAAATAAATATATCTTTAAAAAACCACAAAATCTTAAAAAGTATCTTCTAAATCACCTCATGTCAGGCACTTATTTAAAACCATCCTGAAGGGCCCGGCGCAATGGTGCAGTGGTTAAGGTCCTTGCCTTGCACGCCCGGGATCCCATATTCTAATCCTGGCGGCCCCACTTCCCATCCAGCTCCCTGCCTGTAGCCTGGGAAAGCAGTCGAGGACGGCCCAAAGCTTTGGGACCCTGCACCCGTGTGGGAGACCCAGAGGAAGAACCTGGCTTTGGATCGGCATAGCATCGGCTATTGCGCTCACTTGGGGAGTGAATCATTGGACGGAAGATCTTCCTCTCTGTATATCCGCCTTTCCAATAAAAATAAATAATAATAATAAAAAAACTTATTAAAACCATCCTGAAGGTTCACACACATAGACTAGAACCCAGAGCGCACACCTGGGCCCACCAAGTCCAGCAGGGCCCAGCTCCCTCTGACCATGACCTCCACAGCAGCCTGATGCCTCCCGAGGGCACGCCTCACCCCTGCTGCAAGGTCTCCCCACTCCTCCGTGTTTCCTCACGGTTCACGGCAGCCCCCTAACTAGAACAGAAGCTTCTGGGAGGCAGAAGGCAGCACCCCAGCACCTGCGCTGTGGCTGCCACATGCCAACGGCTCCCGCACCCTGGTGCCACCCTTGGCGGAGCTTGTTCACGGCCGGCATGGGACACACTTGGCTAGAAGTGTAATGAGGGAGCTCATCCCATCATGACAATGTGTCCCCAGGGTCGGGTGGAGGGGGGGATGCCACATGGGACACACAGTGCCCCATCACACTGAAGAGGCCAGGTTGCTCTGAACACGTCAGGCTGTGCTGGGGGCTGACGGTCCTAAGGAGCCCACCTCCAATGGAGACCCCTCCAGGGCAAGGACCCACACCTTCTGGCTAATTCTCCTCATCCAGGCTCAACCACACCCCCATGGGGAAGCAAGGGGACCAGACATTACTCTCCCCAGCAAGCTGCTCAGCCTGCACCATGTAGTATTTCTAGCCAGCCCCATCCCCTTGTCTTCTGGAAGCTTCCAAAGCACGGGGGAGGACCTCATAATTGAGTGAATGAGGCTGACTGGCCTTACAGTACTAAACCAAAGCAACAGCCAGAGAAAGGGGAGGGAGCGAGCAATTTCAAAATACTGAACCCAGGGCTGGACCTGTGGTGCAGTGAGTAAAGCATTCCATAAGGAGGCAGGTTCAAGTTCCAGCTGCTCCACTTCTGACCCAGCTCCCTCTTGGTGCACCTGGGAAAGCAGCGCTGGACCATCCAAGTCCTTGGGTCCCTGTGCCCACATGGGAGACCAGGAGGAAGCTCCTGGCTCGGCCCCAGTTTCCTGGCTGTTTCCAGGGTGAGCCAACAGAAAGATCTGTCTCTCCCTCTCCTGTAATTCTGCCTTTCAAATAAGGAAATCTTTAAGAATCAGACCCCCCAATTACAGAGTCTACACAGAGCCTGCATTAGCAGGAGGGCCTTTTCTGCCCTGTAAGGCGAGGCCTGGAGCTGAATCTGACTGTCTAGAGGCCTCCTCATTGCTCAGCACGGGTGCAGGCCCCAGCATACGACGGATCATGGGAAACACATATGATGCTAAACCAGAAACACAGACCCTTTCTTGGGGAGTTCAGTCTGCGCAGGGAGGCAACTATATCTGGGGGCAATTCCAATAGAGGGGTGTGAGGCCAAGTGGGCCAGCCTGAGCCCTGGGGGCACGCGAGGTGGTGCAGAGGCAGGCAGGGGGAGCTAAACCCACTAGGGTTTACCCTGCAAGTAGGCGTTTCAAGGTTAAAGGATTCCCTCCCACTCCCTGCTGTCATCTCAGGGACATGGAGGGCATTGTGGTCAGACCCCCAGGTCCTCACGGCCCGACCTTAATCCTGCCTCCGCAGTCACCGGCTGTGGGCATCACGGGCGCCTCTCTGCCTCAGGCTCCTCACCTGTTAAACAGTCATGGTCACACCAGGGAGGCCGCGGGTGCTCTGTGTGCACGCCTGCTCGGGTCGTGCCCGCTCGCTGAAGACGCCCCCAAATCCTCGATCCCCCGCGGATGCCACCCCTGCAGCCAAGACACCTGAACCCTTGATCCCCTCACCCGGCGGCCCTGACTCCCTCACTTGACCGCCCCCCAAAAAATACACACGCACCCCGCCGGCGGCCGGCCCCGCAATGCGCATGCGTGGGTCGAGTCCGCCGCCGAGTTCGCGCTACAAAGCAGCCCCCCAGCCTAGGGAGGCAGGGGCCGGCCCGGGGAGGACAGGGGAGGACGGCGGTCACACCTCGCCACGGAGAGGGAGCCGCTCCTGCACCCGACAGCCCCCCGGGGCTGCCAACCCCCAGCCCGGAGAGCCAGCCGGTTCCTCACACTCTGCAGCAGACTCCTCCTCTGCGCCGCCATCTTGGAGGGACCCTCGCGCGGGCGCGCCCGCCTCCCGCGAGAGCACCGAGAGGAGCGGCTAGAGCGGCCCGAGCCTGCGCGCAGCGCCACCCCGCGGCCGAGCCGGGACGCACCGGAGTGCGCGTGTGCGCAGGCGCACTCTTCCTTTTTACTTATTTCCCCACCACCACCACCAAGGTACTTAGCTGCTTCACTTCCGTTTACTCGGTCGCTTCTCTTTCAACCCCATTGGCACACTTTGTGCAAGTTACGTTTTAGACGCGGCTGCTAAGAGTCCCCCTATCCCTCCAGGTTTGGGTTTTTATGAACATTGTGGAGGCGAGCGCGTCTTTTCTTATTCCCGCCCTTACCCCTGTAGAAAACAGAGAGAAGCTGGTTGTAGTTGCTCTAGGCGAGTATAATTTTTGGGAAGAAATAGCCAAAGATTGTTTTAGAAGGGAATGGGGAGGCAGGGATGAGCCAGCCACGGTGACAGAAGGCAAGGGGCCCAGAGAGACAGCTGAAACAAAGTCCATTGGATTTGGAGTCCTGCAGACCATCTTCCCTGGCAGCTCGCGGTAGAATGGCGGGACAAGGTCCACTGTGGAGAGTGGAGGATGGGCCGGGCTGGGAGGCCAACACGCAGAGTTGGGGCAAAAAGGGGGTGCTCTCAGGACTGGGAGGCAGACGCTGGGATTTTTGCTTTTAGCTGTGGAGGACTGGAGCCTGTCAACGCTGATGGGACTTTTGGGACCAACTTATGTCAGAAATAAAGAGGGTTGATGGAGCCCCTGCAGGTGCTAGCGAGAGCAGGACCCGGGCCTGGGTAAGACCCACAACGCCCTGAGGCACAGCGGGGAGACTGCTTGCTGGACCCAGCACTGAGGGCGTGTTCATAAGAAAAATCTAGGCCATGGAAGTCACTTGGAGAGTGAATCATGGGTCACAGGATCTTCCTTTCTGTCTCTCCTCTATATCTGAAAAAAAAAAAAAAGCAACACAAAAGACTCATACAGCAAAATGTTTGCCATGGAGATAAAAGATAGGCAAAGAACCAGGCCCTGAGCCGCCCCGGCCACTCAGGCAGCCGGGCCATAGGTCCACCTGGGTTCCTGACGGAAAGGTGGGGAGGAAGGAGACAGGGACGGTGGAGTATAGATTGAGGCCAAGGGAAATCTGGAGAGCTGCTGAGGGTTCTGTGTGGTCCCAAAGCATGCATCTGATATCCCGGGCCATGCGCACATCTCCCAGTGCACTGGGGACCCTGGTCCACAACGGCAGACCTGCCCATCTGCCTGCCTGTGATAGGGCCTGGAGCTCATGTTGGCTGTGGAAACGGCTATCAGGACTGGCACACACGGTGTCCACCCGGTGCTGACTGCTAACCGCTGTGTGGCACCCATGATGAACTCTGGGGGACGCACTGGACAGCTGGTCTCCTGTCACTGTCCCCAGAGGAGGAGCCTGTCAGCGGTGCCTCGTCCTCATTGCCATCCCCCACCCCCTAGAGGCTCAGTGCCCTCCTGCCTGCTCTCCCCAGGGCCTGCTGAGCTCTCTGGAACTGGATCAGGCCTCAGGAATTTTGGAGGGACGGTGTGCAAAATGGTGTGTTGTTTAGGGCAGCTGGGGAGAGGCCAGAAGCCCCAAGCCATAGCCCCAGTGCCCCTTAAAATCCCTCAGGGAACTTGGACTTGCTGTGGCTTGCTTTCTTTTCTTTCTCCTCCCTTCCCCTCCCCTCTCTTTTTCCTTCTCTGTCTCTCAGCTGCCATCCAGGTCTCCCACGTGGGTGGCAAGGACCCCAGGTGCACTGGTAGGCACCCACATTCAGGAGCCTGAGCAGGTATCAAACACAGACATTCCGTGATGGGATGCAGGCCCCTTAACTGGCATCCAAAGCTCCTGGCCAAGCATCAGCCCCTCTGACGCTGCAGCTTTTCTGGAGCTCTGGGGGCCTGAGAAGGAAAAGGAGACTGGGAGATACTGTCGGCTCACAGGTTAGGCCAGCATCCCCAACAGGCAAGTTGGAGACATCTGCATTTCTACAGAACCAGCTCTCTCAGCATCTTCATTCACGGTCTCCATCTTGTGTGATATGCTGACAGAGACCTGGCGTGGCCTGAATTCATGGAAACAGTCACTGAAATGACCGTCCTTGGTCCATTTGGAGTTTTAATGCAACATAAGGGAGCTGACTTGGTTGTTTCCAGATATGGAGCCAAGTTCTTATTAAATTCATTTACTGAATAATCTCCTTCCCTGCTGTTGCCTTCATCAGCTGTGTAAATCCCACACACTGGTATCTTTGTGAAGTGCCTGGCTCTCCAGGATGTTACCAGACCTGAAGGAGGTAAGCTCTCTAGGCTGGGCGTGGGAGCCCGGGATAGGCTCCAGCCAGGCTGGCTCTCTGCCCAATCCTGCTCCTCTGGCCATGCGGCTTCCACCGCTTGGCTCTGGGATGCGGCAAGAATTCCAGACACACAGGAGCAGCTTCCCAAGGCTTCCTGGTAAGCCCTCTCACCTTAGCCAAGGCGACCTTGCTCACCAGGGTTGGGACAGGGCAGCTGGTGGCAGGGTTCAGGTTAGCGAGCAGGAGGTGGGTGCACTTGCAGGAAATGGCTTTGTCTTTAAATAAGAACTCCTCTTTTTTTTTTTTTTTTTAAAGGAATTTATGAGCTTATTTTATTTGCAAAACAGAGCAACAGAAAGAGGTAGAGACGATCAACTGATTCCCTCCCCAAATGAGTTCAGCAGCCAGGACTGCATTGGGCTGCATTGGGCTAAAACCAGAAGCCAGGAGCAACATCCAGGTCTCCCGCACAGGTGCAAGAGCCCCAGGCACTTGGTCCAGCCTCTGCTGCTTTCCCAGGCACATCAGCAGGGAGCTGGATCAAGAAGTGGAGCAGTGGGATTTGAACTGGTGCCTATATGGGATGACTGCATGGCAGGTGGTGGCTTAACCCGCCGCGCCACGGCACTGGCCCTGTATGCTTGGATTTTTTTGGGAAGAGGAGCACAAGGGAATGACTGAGGGACAGTGGTGTCTCTTCCTGATATGGGGGAACAATGAACAGGGAGGGGGTGGGGGGGTGAGTTCATTAATTCAGCAACATTGAATGAAGTACCTCCTGTCTGCGGGGACTTGGGCCTGCTGGATAGGGCCCTCCTAGGGCTTGCATTCCACATCTCATGAGGAGGGCTGGACACTCAGGAGACACACAGGGGGCTGGGGAAGACAAGAAAAGGGGAGAAGGGGGGCTACATTTTTAAAAGGTGCAACTAGGAGTGCTGTCCCGCTGGACAAAGGGCCATCTGAGCTGACCTGAGCACGGAGGGCAGCCTCCCAGGTCTGGGAGAGAAGGGCAGTGGGCCAGGGGGCAGGATTGTGCTTGGTGTGTCCTCCAATGGCAGGGAGGCCAGCACGGCGGAAGCAAGGGGAGAGAGAACAGGAGCTGGCCATTGCAAAGACTGGCTTTAGGCTGAGAAAACCGAGAATGTTTTGGAAGTATTTGCACAAAGATTTTCATTGTTCTTCTTTTCTCTTTGAATGGCAGAGTGAGAGAGAGCCATGGCCTGGCACTGGATCCAAGCACTTGGATACAGAATGTGGGTATCTTAAGTGGCATGTCACGGCAGGTGCTATCCTGTGGAGCTGGCATCCCATATGGGTGCCAGTTCAAGTCCCAAGTGCCTGCCACAGCTGGAGCTGGAACGGGCTAAGCCAGGGAACTGGATCCAGATCTCCTAGGCAGGTGGCTGGGACCCAAGTACTTGAGCCATCAGCAGGGCCTCCCGGGATGTGCGTCAACAGGAACCTGGCATCGGGTGCAAAGCCAGGATTGGAACCTAGGCACTCGTCCCAGATGCCTGCCCTCAACTGCAACTTGGGAATAACACATCACCCTGTGGGCAAGGGGCATTGTGTGAGGCTGCCATTGCGACTGGTCCTCCCTACCACCTTCCCAGTGGCCCTCACGTCCAGATAACGTGCAGACTGGGAAGGACGGCTGTTCAAGCGGGGTGGGGGAGCGGGCTCAGCTGGCAGCCTGGGCGTTGGCATAGGTCCCGAGACCAAGACCCCTGTCTCTCTCCAGCCTCGGTTCCCCTCTTTCTCACCTGCCTCCCACTCCCTATCGATCAATTGTGTCGCCCCATTTTAAAAGGACACAATCAGATCGGCTCAGCCATCATCTCCCGCCTCTGCTCAGCAGCATGGGTGTAGCCAGCGCTGGGACTGACAGCTTGCAAGCACCACCTATCTGGGCTGGGCTCTGGGTACCATCCTGAGGTTGCTGTTCCCTTTCTCCCTAATTCAGCATTTTCTGCTGGACTCCTCCAGACGCAGCCTGCATGCAGGGAGACGGCTGTGTGATGGCCACACGGCCTTCCCCTTCAAGTCAGCCGGGTCCACCCCTTACCCCAGCCCCTGGGAGACACTCTGGCAGCGACAGGCTGCCTGGCTGCTTTGCCTAGCACAGTGGGTTCATGAGCAGGCAGCCAGCCGGCCAAGTGTGATGGCTCAATGACTAAATCCTCACCTTGCAAGCCCAGCATTCCATATGGATGCCGGTTCATGTGCTGGCTGCTCCACTTCCCATCCAGCTCCCCGCTGTGGCCTGGGAAAGCAGCAGAGGATGAACAAAGCCTAGGGACTTTGAACCCATGTGGGAGACCTGGAGGAATCTCCCAGATTGGCTCAGTTCTGGCTGCTGCAGCCTTGTGGAATGTGTCTCTCTGTAATCTTATCTTCCTTTCCAATAAAGATATACAAATCTAAAAAAAAAAAAAAAAAAAAAAAGAAGAAGAAGAAAAATAAGCAGTGTCTGGGGAGCATGTGGATCAGGTGACAGGGTGGGCCAGCTTCCTTCATCCTGGCCATCTCTGAAGGTGGGACCCTGCACCCACGTGGGAGACCTGCCAGTCCAGCTCACAGTGTCAGTCTGGCCTAGTCCAGCCACAGCAGCTATTTGAGGAATGAACCACTAGAAGGAATAATTGTCTTTTCCTCTCTGCAACTCTGCCTTTCAAATAAATCTGTTTTTTTTTTTTTTTTAAAGGATGCATTTGTAAGTCCCTTGTGTAAGTGAACATGAACCAAGCAGTAATGAACAAAGCCAGGCCCCATGCAGCTCCAGGCTCCACCTGAGCAGAACAGACAGAAACCGCAACACGCTTGCAGCCCCCCCAGGGGGGTCTGAGTCTGCACTTTATTACTAAGTCACCAGAAGTCACCACCTGCACGTGGGTCGCCACACACGAATGCACATCATAGAGGAGGGGCCAGGGACCACTGGATGCTCTTCACCAGGTGGCGCTGGGGGATGGGAGGGGACCACCCTTCACCGCACACAGGTATACTCGTGGAGCCTTCTATTAGACCTCTTATATATAGAAAATATATATATATATATTTGTACTATACACAGGCAGTTATGCTGCGGGAGGGGCCGGGCCACCCAATGACTGCAGGCACCGGGTGGGATATGGGGGTGGGGGAGGGAGTGCCAGGTCAGGTCAGGGGCAATGCTGGGAGACGGATGACAGTTGCATCTCCCGTCCACTCTTGGGAGGGACAGTCCCCTTCCATGCTCCTCAGAGAATCACAGGGGTTTGGTGTCAAGTTTGAGGGTGGGGTTCACCCAGGGCTTACAAGTAGAGGCTCTTGGTTAGGTAGCAGAAGCCAAGGACTAGTATCCCCCTAAGAGTCCTTGGTGGCCAAGAAACACCAGGGCAGAGGGGAGCAGGGGGCCCAAGGCTGGTCCCCCCCCACCCCCCGAGAACACACCCTTCAGGAATCACACCCCCAGGGCGGCAGCAGCCACTGTGCAAGAAAGCCTGGGCCAGTACAGGATGTGGCTCAGGGCTGGACCTCGGAAGCGAGGGTCCTTGCAGCCTGAAGTGTGGTGGAACCTGTTTCCTGGCCCCTCTCTTGTGCTGGGAGGAGGGAAGCCAAACCCAGCAGCCTGGTTTGCAGGGGACCTTCCTTTTAAGGACAGGTTTGGGAATAAGGGAGCAGTAGCTGGGGGGTCACCATGAGCCCTGCCCCTGCTGCGCTGTTGGCTGTGGGGCCATGGCAGGCAGCCGGGCTTAGCGCATGGGTTTGCCCCACCCCCTGCTCCTGGCAGCGGTCAAAGGTAGTACACTGACCACTGAACACTGGCCATAGCAGGCCTGGGTCCCTTCCAGGGAGAAAGCCAGTAAGCTGTCCACGGCAGGAGTGCTTTCAGGTGGACAGCAGGAATGGGAGAAGGAGGGACTTCGCAGAGCCCCCTTCAGTGGGCAGAACTGCTGCCAGCAATAATCCACTCCAAGCTGCCCCCGGGGAGGGCAGAGCCAACAGATCCCCTCCCCCAGGCATGAAAAACGGGCACCAACAAGTGGCTCTCACTCAGCCCTTGGGGAGATCTGAACACACCTGAGTTCCCATAATGGTCCACTGCTAGCTCACCTGTGCTCACTGAGCCTCAGCTGACTCTTCTGTTAAGTGGGACAATGCTGCTACTTCTCTTTCTAGAAAGTTCCTTTTCCTTCCCTTCAGGCCTGCTGCTTAGAGCCCCTCCCAGGGCACTTGCACTCAGGAACGAAGTTCATGGGAAAAGAAGAAAAAAAAAAGGAGGAAGAATTGAAGGGTAAGTATGCTTTGGAACCAGGAAAACTGAAATCCATGCAGATTTCCTAAAACACGTTTTCCAGGGACTTCGTCAGGAGCCCTTGCATACAGCCCTGCCCATGGCTGTCTGCTTCCTGTCCGTCTTCCCTGATGCTTGGGGGGAGGGGAGGAGGAAGGGCAAGCACACCTGCTGCTTCCGCCGTCTGCACAGCACGTGCGTGATGGCCACCACCTCTGCTCCACTCCTGGCAGGACTGGTTCGTGCTGGCTGCAGGTGGGGTGGTCCCCAGCTCCACCCCACAGCCAGCCCCTTGGCCCTGTGGCCCCCAGCTCCACCCCACGGCCAGCCCATGACCCGCATCTCGCCCAAAGTGCCCCACTGGCAGCAGGCATTCCCCCTGCCCAGTCCCCACAATCCTCACTACACCTTCGAGGTCACTTGCTAGTCCCTCTTCTGTGGCCCCTGGTCTTCCCCATGCCCACCATGGGCCAGGGTGCTTACCCTCAGGACAGTGCCCTGCCTACACTGAGTTTGCAGCTAGCAGAGCCTGGTCTCTAACTCTCATGGGCCAGCCCCTCAGTGGGCCTCCTGGAAGGCCAAGGAAAACTTGTGACTGACCTCAGAGGAAGGCAAAGATGGATGTCCCAGACCAGGTACAAGGACAGGGATTTGGCCACCTGCTGGGCAGCTGGGCCAGTAACCCCACGCTGCCAGCCCAGCGTGGCTCCTCACTCTGCTGCAGCTTGGGCCCCCAGATCCCATGTCCAAGAGCCTTGGTGAGGACTTAGCCTGCTTAGGGGCCAGGACGGTGACTAGTCCTTTAGGCTATCACAAAAGGCTTGACCCAGTCCCCCAGTGGACCCCAGTGGTCCCCCGGGACCCCACGGGGTCGACCGGGACAGATGCCAATCACAGCGAAGCAGGTGAGGTGGGGCCTTCTCAGGAGAGCCCAGCAGGGACACAGGGGGTACGGATGGCAGGGAAGTGACAGGACAGAACAGATCTACAGCTTGTGGCAGAGCCAGGGTCTCATGGGCGAGGTTCCCATGGCTGCCTGGGGTGACAGCGTGGCTCAGTGAGAATGCTCCACTGATGGAAAGCAGGGCGGGAAGATTGGTGGGGGAGGGCTCAGCCCTGCCCCAGCACTCGCTGCCAGTGGCCCTGGCTCCTGGGTCTGTTTCTCAGCCGCCCAGTGGATGCAGCCCTGCCCCGTCCCTTGGGAGCCAGGGTCCCTCTTCTAGGCCCTCCTGCTGCACTCACCAGCACAGGCCTCGTACACAGCAGGCGCTCAATGAATGCCCCATGACACAGGGAATGGATACAAGTTCCCTGGCTGCAGGGTCCCTCCCCTGCTGGATACCCGCCCTCGAGAGAAACACGCACACACACGCAGACGCCCCCATGTCTGGACAGGGCTAGGAAGGAGGGGGAGGGCGGTGGTAGAGGAGGCAGGGGGCAGGGGGGACAGGCCAGGGAGCAGGCGGTCACTGCGGCTCAGTAGCCCTGCGACTGATAGCCTGGGGGCTCGGCATCAAAGGCGTTGGCTGGCTGCTGGTAGGTGCCGCCCAGGCCGGCGGTGTCCGGCCCACTGCTGGGCTCCACGTAGGGTGCGTAAGGCATGCTCGAGTCCTGGCTGGGGTCCATGTAGTCCTGGGAGAAGAGGGCCGAGTCGGCGCCGATCTGGTACCGCTGGAAGGCCAGCACGGCCTGGCCCGCCTGAGGACAGGGGCAGCAGGGACATGGGCAGGCGAGGGGGCAGGTGGTAGGGGCAGTTAGGTGAGAGACAGACAAAAGCATTGGGTTAGTGGCAGTTAGTACATAAAAAGGCACAGGGTAGGGGGTAACGGAGGGCTAAGGGGCCTACCAAAACATGAAACCAGGCTTGGAGGCTCGGGTGGCTTAGAACCAGGGTCCAGCCAGAGATGCTGATGGGGAAGGGGGCGGCTCTCATGCTGGGTCAACTTAAACTCAAGGTCTCCACCATGCAAAGTATAGGCAGCCTCAAAAGCCTATAGCCTCTTCCTCAAACTGCTCGTTTTAGCCAACAGGGCACTTCCTGTTCTCTGTGCCTTCCTCTTATCTGATGCTGGGATGGCATGGAATGCAGACATGATGCCTGAAGCACTGGTTGGCACACTGGACCATGAGGACGGCCAGCCACACTGTAAAGGTGGAGGAGGGCTGCATCACCACAGACCCATGCCAGCTCTGGGCCATGGCCTCAGGCTGCACCCCAAGCCACTGTCACGTGGGGTTTCCATCACTTGCTGCTGAACTTGAAAGCTAACAGAAGCACTTGTGGTCAGACAAGCCTGGGAGACGGAGTCCATCAGAGTGTGTTGGGGAACTCCATGGCTCGTCGGTGTGCAGTGAATCCCTGAGAGGAGGCCGGGGCACGCAGCACCCGTCCATCTTGCCCTTCACTGTCTACACTGAGCCAGGGAGTAAGAGCTGTTTGGGGGCTCCTGGTGAGGGCGCTCTGCCCTGGGAACCTGCCTGGGGTCAGAGAGTGCTGGCTCCACATTCCCATTTCTGGGTGGAGAAGGTGAAGTCTGAGCCGGCCCCAGAGAGGGCGGGTGTCCAGGGCACAGCTGGTGCCAGCACCCAGCCCAGACAGAGGCCAATGCAGGGCAGCACCCTGGTGTTCTCTTCCAGAAAGTTCTAGAACACCAGTGCCCAGACATTTGCTTTTGGTCTGATCCCTCTAAGAGGCAGCACTTTCCAGGTGACTAAAGCTGGAGCAGGGGTCTGGGAGGTTAGGCTGAGGAAAGAGGGGTGTCACAGGGGTGCTGTGCATGGGGACACAGGGAGTTCAGGTCCTCGGCAGGCGGGGAGCAGGGGCTGCCTGCTCAGAAGCTGGGGGCTGAAAGAACAAGGACTTGCCACTGGAGGACTACCCTGGAGGATCTCCGACTTGTGGAGGGCAGAACAAATGAGTGAATGAGAAATGAGTGAACGCAGGAGCAAAGCTACCACTTACTGAGCATCCCTGTGCCCAGCGGCCCGAGGCCTCACCGGGTGCTGTCACCAGTCAGCCCGGTTCGGAAGCGGATTCAGAGAGGTGCTGCACCCATCCCATCCACCCACCGGGCCAGCCTCCATGGGGACGAGAGGGTGGCCCTTCACTCCACAGCCCCGGGACAGGCCAGCACGCAGGGTCCACCTCTCCATCCCAGGACCCCCTCCTGATTCATCACTAGGCACAGAACAGACACTCAGTAAGTGTTTACTGAAGGAGAAACAACAATCTAGGCGTGAGTGGGCAGCCCCCTTGGTCGGCTCGGCCAGACAGGAGGCGGTGGCCTAGGGCTGCGCCGAGGCGGGGAACAGCGTGCTGTACTCCTCCTGGAAGCTAAGCTCCTGGAATCTCCTCACGGCCAGGGCTGCACTCAGGCTCTGCCGGGAGAGAGCAGGGGCAGCCGATGGGAGATGGGGCAGGGCAGAGGGCCAGGTGGCACGGCTGGGAGGGCCACCAACAGCCCGGGTTCGACTCCGCTCCGGGAAAGCTCGAGCTCTGCGACCCACTTCCACCTCGGAGCGTCCCACCCTGTCTCAGTGCTTGCTGTGTCCACCCAGTGGGTAGGCCCTAGTAGTCTCCACTCTGCAGCATCAGCAGCACCTCTGGTCTGAGATCCCCTGGGGACACTGGGGTCTTACTGCTCAGTCTTGGGGACAGGAGTGGCCATGGCTGATCCCCTAGGGCCTGAGCCACAGGCCTCCTCCTCTACACTGAGTGTACTGTTAACAGGGGTGTCCCAGAAGAAAATGCATGAGGGTCCTGGGAAGGCCGCCTGCCTAACCAGCGGTGCTGGGGGCCTCTGTGTGCAGGAGGACTAGAGGATGGGGGCTTGGGGAGAGGGCCCCAGGAAGGGGTGGAGGGTGGGCCCAGAACAGGGCCCCAGTACATGATTCACTAGAGTGAAGCACCGCCAAGTAAAGCTTAGCTTTTGCATGACAATGCAGCTTTCTAGTTTCTCTAGGAAATAATAAATAAAACATTGGATGCCCAGGAGTCCCCAGCAGAGCGTGCTCCCCCAACTCAGTGAGCGGGAGCGTGACTCCTGGAAGGCCGCACTGTGTTGAGCCTGGGCGAGGGTCTGGAGGCCGTGTGTTCGTCCTGCCAGCCGGGGGGAGAGAGCCTGGGCAGGGGAGGACCCAGGACTCATGGGGCAAGGTCCCCAGGGACAGGAGGGCATGTTCCGGGTGCTACACTCACCCATGTGAAGATGGAGAAGAAGGAGAAGGCGATGGCGGCCCTGGCGGCGTCGGTCCCCTCGTTCAGCGGGTTGTCCTTGGGCTTGGAGACCTGCCACTGGTTGGCCAAGAAGCAGAAGCCCACGAACCACAGGAAAGCCCAGAAGGCTACGGTGCACAAGGCCAGGGACGTCAGGCATGGCGGAGGGGGCAAGGGCAGGGAGGGGAGGAGGAAACCAAAAAATGGGGGCATTTGAGAGCGTGTCCCCCATGCTCCCCGATCCCCAAGGAGGCAGGCAAAGCAGCAGGGGCAGAAGAGGGGAGCCAGGGTTCGGGGACAGGGCCCACAGGGAGGGCACGGTGATTCCACAGCCGGAGGGAGGACGGGAAGAAGGGACAGAGAACTGGCAATCAGCTCAAGCCAGCTTTCTGCTGCCCGCTGCCACATGCCAGTTTCTAGCTCCCTACCTCTACCCTGCCACTCCCCAGGGAAGAGGACCCCACCCCATCCCCACAGCCTGCAGGGCAGGGGTCACTCTGGGCCTTTGCTTCTCCAGCTTTTGCTGCTGCCAAGCTCAGAGAGAGCTGGGTGGGCTCCGGGCAGTGTGGAAGCAGGATGGGTGGGTGTGCCCAAGGGAGCCCAGAGCTGCCTGGGGGAAAGTGTGTGTGTGAGTTCATGTCCATGTCCACATGTGTGTGTCCATGCCTGTGTGTGTGTCTGTATACGTCCATGCCCAGGGGACAGGCAAACCCTCCTGTCCTTGGACACACACAGGGACCACTGTGTGTGTCCATGGAAGTCTGAGATCTATTCTTCTCATTCCTTCTGGTTCCTTCTGGGCTGCAAAGCTGAAGCCTGGGGTCTGACCCCTGCCTAAGCATGTGCCAGAGATCCCTGGCACCCATGGGTCAGGGAGCAGGGTGTCCCTGCTAAAAGCCATTTCTGGAGGGCATGGGGTGGCAGATCCTGTCCTGCTGCCTGGGAAGTGGGGTAGAGGGGAGGCTGTGGCTCCTAGGGTGCCCTCTTGCTTAGCGTCCAGGGACTCAGCCAGGGCAGTGGCATGCAACTGGACCAGCAGCATCCCCCTCCTGACTGCCCTCCCTGGCAGGAGTCTGGGGGGGGAGTCCTGTCACAGCCTCCTCTCACCAGCCCTGGGTGTGTCCCTGCCGACTCCCCCCATCTAGGGGGCCCCCCCACCCCCACCCCCACCCCCACCCCCACCCCCACACTTCCGGCTGGCTCACCCGAGACTCCGATGTCTGACAGGACGGCTTTCTTGCGGTCCTTGACGCTGCTGATCTGCGGGAAGTAGGCATCGAGGGCCAGGTAGAGCAGGCAGGTGAGGAAGGCCAGCACGCCCACGGTCACGCCGTAGCTGCAGGCGTTGGGGTTGCGGTTGTAGATGCAGAACTCCTCGCCCTCCGAGGGGCTGTTGAGGTAGCCCTCGTTCACAATGGAGCCAAACACCACGATGGAGAATACCTGCGGGGGCGGGTGGAACAGGGCCTCTGAGTCAGGTGAGTCAGGGTCACGGGAGGCAGGGGCCGCAGCAGGGGCAGGGAGGGGTCAGCAGCTTCCTTCCTCTGCTGCAGCAACCGGGACATTTAGCAGTTGTGGTCCAAGACAGATCCCCAAAGGGCTTCCTGGACCTCTGCACTGAGATTCCTCTAGGAACGGAATGGTGTCCTGCTAAACAGATGGCCACAAGCCTTCCTAGGCAGGGAGTGGTGGTGCCAGCTATAAGCAGAATGAACCCTGCAAACAAGTGAAAGACAGTGGAAACTGTCAGAGGCAGGGAGCCGTGGAGAGTGCTTCCTTCCAAGGTACACGGAGGAAGTCAGGCCAGAGCCCATGCCCAGGGCCCTGTCAGACACTGCTCAGAGTCTTGAAATGAGACGCAGGTGGAAGTTAGAAGGTAACATGAATACCCACATGGCATCACTCACTTCAGAATGGTTACCTGGGGCCTGTGCTGTGGCACCTCTAGTGCCAGCATCCCATATGGGCGCCAGTTCATGTCCCTGACAGCTCCAGCTCCCTGCTTGTGGCCTGGGAAAGCAGTCAAGGACGGCCCAAAGCCTTGGGACCCTGCACCTGCATGGGAGACCTGAAAGAGGCTCTTGATTCCTGATTTCAGACTCTCTGTACTGTCATAGCAGCCATTTGGGGAGTGAATCAGTGGATGGAAATCGCTGTCTTTCCTTTTCTCTGTAAAAATAAATAAATAAATCCTTTTAAAAATAAAACTGAAAAGAAAGAACAAAGGAAAGAATTCACCTGAAGAGGTCCAGTCCTGGGTGGCAACAGAAGATCCTCTGGGGCAGAGGACCTGCTGGACACACCCAACCCCTGAGGAGGGTGAGAGAACTGCACCTCTTGGAGCTGGGAGGGGCCCTAGGCAAAGGGATTGCTCCCAGGGGCTGGGAGAGACCCTGTTCAGAAACCAAAATCTGGAAGCAACCAGGCTCCCTGGGGCGCAGGAAGAAGGCAAGATAGAAGTCGGGGCCTTGGGGACCAAGGAGAAGGAATTCCTACACTAAGCCTGCATGGGAGAGCACGGCAGGGAACCCCAGAGAGGGGGAAGGAAAGTGCTGGAGAGGACGGTCCCCAGGGAACTCCGCAAAGGGACGGACAGGGTGGCGCAGGCACTGGGGGGCTTTGCTGGCTCCAGCACAGGACTGGAGTCCCAGGGCACTGCATCTGCCGGGACTCTGGGGGCAGAGCAGTGACTGTAAGTGGGGCCGGATGAGCTGAGCCTGCCTAGGTGAGTGGAAGGGGTCAGAATTGCCCTAGCCTGACCCAGAACTCGCCAAATTGGCCACTGAAGCAAGGACAGTGATGGCCCACGCAGGGAGCCAGTTTTGGGCAGGTCTTGGGGGAGGGGGTTTGAGCAGATGGGTGGGTAATGCCAAGGCTGCAGGAGGGGGTTGGAGCGGGAGGAACAACACGCTGGACACCAGGCTGGGGAGGTACATGGGACAAGTGGGGGTACAAGGCCTGGTGGGCCGCAGCAGGGACTCCGGCTATGAGGGCAGTGAGAACCAGCAGTCCCCTTACCAGCCGGAGTCCCTCTCATCTGTCCCTGGCCTACGAACCACTATGATCAGTACACAACCCTGGCCTGGAAGCAACCAGGCTCCCTGGGGCGCAGGAAGAAGGCAAGATGGAAGTCGGGGCCTTGGGGACCAAGGAGAAGGAACTCCTACACTAAGCCTGCATGGGAGAGCACGGCAGGGAACACCAGAGAGGGGGAAGGAAAGTGCTGGAGAGGACGGTCCCCAGGGGACTCCGCAAAGGGACGGACAGGGTGGCGCAGGCACTGGGGGCCTTCTAGGCCACAACCCAGTCACCTGCTGTCCTTCTACTGCCCCAGGTTCTCCTCCCTGTAAAGGCTATTTCCATCCCAGATCCTTGGGGGGCTGGCTGTGCTCGCTGCAGGTACAGCAGGGAGCTGCCAGTTGCCCCACCCCACAGCAGGGCCTAGGCGATCTCTTCTCAGAAGCTCGAGAATTGGGGCTGGACGTCAGAGGTCCTTTTCTGTCCAGCAGTCCCTACAAGCATCAGGAAGCAGAGTGGTGCAGAGGGAACAGTCCAGGCACCGGGGAGACCCCGGGAGAGGTCAGCTGGTGGCAGAAGCCCAACAGCAGCAAGTGACCCGATGCTTCCGATGCTGTGTGTGGGGGGAGGGGACACACCCAGAAGGTGAGGCAGGTCGCCAAGCCCAGGCACCATCCCTGAGGCCAGGAGGGCCGGCAAGTCCAGAAGCCGGGGGCCTGCTGCCTGCCCTGCACAAGGGGTCTCTGCAGGCTGAGGCTGGGAGGGAGCAGTGCCAGGCACCGCAGCAGCCAGCTGACCTCACAGAGCCATGGGCCCCTTGGATGGGTCCCCGGCAGTAGGACGTGGCCTCAGGCTTCCACCGCTCAGGAATGGAGAAAGGACTTGAACCCTGTGTTGGGATGGACAGCTGGAGCCCTGAGACAGATGGCTTCCTGGGGTGACAGCAAGCAACACACAGAGAAGCCACCAGGAGCCACCTGAGAACCGGAAATTAATCTGGGATGGAATCCTACCCTGGCCACTGCAGCGGCGGGAGGCAGCTGGCCTGCTGGGCGGCCCCAGATGCTTGGAAACTCCTTGGTCGAGGCTGGAGCCCGGGCCAGCACCTGGCTGGCGGGCTGCTGGGCACGGCAGGCCCGAAAAGGCCACCCCCACCCCCACCAGCCCCGAGATAACCAGGACAAGTCGTGTGGATCCTTCCCCACCTTCTGGTGAAGCCAATCCTGGATCTTGTTAAAAACAGAATCCAGATGGTGCCTGGTGCAGATCTATGTCACACTCGGAAAAAAACAAACTGGAAAGAATCTCTCAATCCCAGGATTTCAGGATCCTGCACTTCTGGGCACGGAGCTGCCCACTGCGACCCCTGCCCCTGCCTGTTTCAGCCATCGGACAGGCGGTGTGGTAACTATGACCTGCCACTGCCCACCCTTTCACCTGTCCAACAGGAGCAGACCTTCAGGGGTCTCAACTTGCCTGGCGGGGCCTCGTCTACGGGCCTGTCTCCTCTGCCTCCTTTTCAGCCTGTGCTCACCGAGTGCCCCCTGATGAAAAGCCTCTTCATCAATCCTTCCCAGAACCTTCTGAACCAAACTCATGGCCATGCCTGCACCCATTCGGCCCGCCTGTCTCCCAGGGTGGAATGGATTCTAGATCCTGGACCCTGGGACCTATCTGAGACCACCAGTGGGCGTCTGCAAGGCCAGGGTGCATCAGCCCACGCTGTGGGACTTGGGGGGACACTGCGGTCCCAGCACCTGCTTCTGACGTCTTGATAAAAGCACTGGGTTCTCTCAGGAGAAGCAGCGGGCAACACACACCTGCAGCCGCAGGCGTCCATGCTCTCCCTTCTATCTGGCCTTGCAAGGGGTGGGGGGACCCTGGCCCCAGCACCGCCTGCCGCCTCCTCCCAGCTGTCCATGGTTCCCCTCAGGGCTCTGGGATCCCCTGTGTGACCCACCGGCTTCTTGGCCAGCCTCCCCCAGTCTTCCACAACCTCAGACCTCCTTTATCTGCTCCCACGGCTCGCCCAACTGTCCAGGCACCATCCCTCACCCCATTCCCCCAGACTGCTGTTCTGAGGCCCATGAGAACCTCCCAAATCACTCTGTGGGCCCCCCTCTGGCTCAGGCCATTGTCTCAAGGTGCCCCCAGACCCCTGCAGACCCCCAAAGTCTGCCCATCTCCTCAAACCAGTGAGAAGTGATCTCCCTGCCTGTCCACTCCTCCCCTGCAAGCCAAGACTTGGCCCCCTCAGACTCCTACCTCTCCCCTCCCTCCCCTACCAAGCTCCTCCCTGCTTTGCACATGGCTCTGCCTGGGACACTTGCGCCCCCACCTTCCCCACCTTCCCACATCAGGCTCCTTCTCCGGATCCAAGGCTCAGAGCAGCCGGCACCTCCACAGGGAAACCTCCAGGCCAGCCCTCTGCAGTGGCCTGATTGGTCTTAACACAACGTCACTGCACTCCCTTCCTGCTCACTGCTTCGGGGGTGAGGGTCGGGAAAGGCTCCCTGGGCCTGACAGAGGATCATGCCCACTGCAGAAGCACATCCCTGGCTTGCCCCACAGCCTGTATCCCCGTGCCCCCTGTGCCCAGGGTGTCCCGCAGGCTCTCTGGCCCCCCACCCACCTCGGGGTCCTGTGAGGAAGCCAGGGCTCACGGGATTCTGTTCTCCTTGCCTTGCAGCCTGAGGCGGATTATGGGGTAATCTGTCCACAAGCTGCCCAGGGGGGGCCTTGCTGCCCCAAGGAACACTTCTGGGTGGGGGAGGGGGGCCAAAGCCTCAACACAACTCCAGGGGGCTCAGGCCCCTGCTCAGGGCTGGCCCCTCAGCACTGCCCCACCCAGTCCTCCCCTGGTGGAGGGCAGAGGGCCGCAGGTGCCAGGCAAACACTGCCTGACCCACCACAGACTGGGCCTCATCCACATCCACCACAGTGCCCATTCCACAGATGGGGCAGCTGAGGCCGAGGCCCCGCAGCTGGCAGGAAGAGCAAGGCTGACCAATCCTGTGTACGTTTCCTCACCAATACCTGCCCCTATTAGGCCAGCCACCAAGTGGCTGCTCCTGCAGGGAGTCCCAGGCCCTGCCTCCCCGCCTCACGAGGTGGGCAAGCCCACTGCTCTGCCAGTCCTCATGGCCAAGCTCAGCAAGCAGGAGGGAGGCAAGTGGGAGAAGACAGCGAGGTTGGGGGCAACCCAGGCAGGCTTCGGGGGAGGGGCTGTCTGCCTGGAGCTCTGAAGGCTGGGTGGAAAAGCTGAATGGGCACAGTGTGTGAAAGAAGGACACAGCAGGACAGTCTGCCTCACCCACACACACGGGACTCCCCGTGTGAGATGCCAGGGTGCCAGCCACAGCTCACTGCTGCCCCAGATCTCCTGGGCCTTGCCTGTGGAGGTCTCTCTGCTTGCAGCTCCTTCC